GGGAAAATATTTTTGAAGAGCCTTGTAAATGAGCTTTCTTCACTGCATTCCTTCTGTGCCCGGGAAGCTTATTCCTCTGTACCATTCATTCTGGTAGCCACTAGTGGCATGTTGTGATTTAAGTTCATTAAAATGAAATAAAACTAAAATTCAGCCCTCAGTCACATGACCTGTATTTTAAGTGCTCAGCAGCTTTATGTGATTAGTGACCAGCACTGGACAGCAAAGACAAACTACTTCTGCCATCACAGAAAGTTCTATTGACAGGGCTGCATTTGGACAAGTGCGGAGTGGGAGAAGCCTAGGACAATAGCATCGTTTGTTATGTTTTAAATCTCAGTATTGACTCTTTTTGAGTCTTGGCAAAACAAAAGTTTTAAAAACTTAACTTCTGAGGAACAAAAAAGGGTTTTATTAAATACCAAATGTGCCTTTTTACACACCAATAGCCATGTCTGTGTTAGTAACCATAGTCAAGGAAGGTGGGTGTCTACAAGTCAGGTGGGAAGTCCAGGAGGAAGGTACCCAGGGATGTGAGATGTGACAGACAGGTGGTTGGGAAGTAAGAGAGTGAGGGAGAGATGTGGTTCTGATGTCCTTCTACCTCATAGGGTAAAATCTATGGCCAAGGGAGATTCAAGGGGTGAGAAACATCTCTGAGGTTTGGGAAGTCTCAGCACAGGAGGCCTTGACATGGCCCAGGAAAATCACCAGCCCCATTAAATAGCCCCACATTCATCTTGGGGCTGGAGTAAGCTCATGGGCTTGGAATACCATGGTATTGCTCCTTTTACTCTCCCTGAGAGTGGGATGGTGGAGGGATGCTGCGTGGAAAGCTGGGGACCTGCTCTGGAGTCCTCAAGCTTATGGATGCAGGTATCCTACAACCAGGCTTTGAGAGAGAACTCAGGGGGGAATTAGATGGAGGATGCATGTCGGAGCCTTTGCATCAACAATCAGCAAGGGAAGAGCAGCCAGATTTGTCTCCACTGAGACGAGACCCTCAGTTCAGGTTTCCCAGAATAGAGTTTCACCAGCCACTTTGCACACTAAACAGGGTCCTAGAAACTTGATTGGTTGAGACCAGTCACTCCTTAGTAGAACCAGGTCTAGAGAAGGGCCAGAGGACAGCAGAGGTGAGCGGCCTCTTTGTCCCCTCACTTAGAAGATAAGTATGTTTTCTCTTATGCCTAAAGGGCATCTCCAGGGCGGCGCCTGTGGCTCAGTGGGTAGAGCACTGGCCCCATATACCAAGGGTGGCAGGTTTAAACCCTGCCGTGGCCAAACTGCAACAAAAAAATAGCCAGGTATTGTGGGGGCGCCTGTGGTCCCAGCTACTTGGGAGGCTGAGGCAAGAGAATCACCTAAGCCCAGGAGTTGGAGGTTGCTGTGAGCTGTGTGACGCCACGGCACTCTACCAAGAGTGACAAAATGAGACTCTGTCTCTACAAAATAAATAAATAAATAAATAAATAAAATAAAGGGCATCTCCACTTTATTAGATTAGAGACAGGGATGGGAAAATCTCTGCAAGTCTACGAGACAAACTGGCATGAGACTTTATTTTTTAATTTTTTTTTTGCAGTTTTTGGCTGAGGCTGGGTTTGAACCTGCCACCTCCAGCATGTGGGGCTGGTGCCCTACTCCTTTGAACCACAGGCGCCACCCTATGGCTTTTTACTTTTACTTTTTTGAGAAGGTCTGTTGCCTAGCCTGGAGTGCAGTAGTGCAATCACAGCTGACTGAAGTCAATAACTCCTGAGCTCAAGCAATCCTCCTGCCTCAGTCTCCCAAGTTAGCTGGGACAACAGGCACGTGCTACCACACCCAGCTAATTCTTTTTTTTTTTTTCACATTTTTCAGGTCAATTTTTATTAGTGCCTGCAAGAAACTTAGGAGAATTCCATCTGATTACCATTTCCAGTGATCTCAATGAAACTTCTCAGAGTTATCATTAAAGTTCAAATAGAAAACACTATAATATAGTGACATCTTCAGGATAAAGGCGAAGGCGGAGGAAGACTGCTCCACTGTGGTTATGTCCACACCACTAGCATCCCCACTTGCAGCGGTCCCTGGTACACCCAACCTAGGTCAAGAGAGGTCTGACCTGAGGTTTGTGCCACTGGGCAACAGCTCCTGCAATTGTACTGGGTACTCAGGACTTCCTTGGGAGGCAGGTGTCTCTAGGGGAAGCCTGAGGTCATTTCCACAGCTCCCCCAGTGGCCTGTGTGTGGCAGTGCGGGTGATATCCTCACGCAGCGCAAGGATCTCCACATGGATGTCTTCAATGCTTCTGCAAGCATCAACTGTCTTCCACTTCAGCTTGCGTCCTCCGTGAGCTGGTGGAAACGCTGCAGGGCCGGCTCCTGGAAGGGCCTGTCCTCGTAGCGCTTCTGGCCAAACTCACCCCGCATAGCGGCATCTGCCAGCAGCAGCTGCAGGAACAGGACCAGGTCGGGTTTGGGAAGGCCCACATCCGACTGCTTGCACCAATCCAAGGAAAAGTTCTCCTTGGCGCTTGTGAAGGCAACAACAGAAAATGCGTATCTGATCACGATGAGGGTCACACTCTGGCTCAACTTTTCCTTAATTAATGGCACTTGTTCCCAGCGGTTTGAGGAAAAAAAGCAGAGGCACAGAGTGGTCCTCCACCTCACTTTTCTTTCCCAAGTGGGAACTCCCAAGTTTTCCGATTTCAGGTACCGATGGCATTTTTCGGGACCGAAGCTTCTCCTGACATTAAACGTAGCCCCGGCCGCTGCCATGCCCCATCTGCTAGAAATAGAATTTAAAATGCGTTTGCAGCCCATGAGAAGGCGGCGAGCTACCACAACAATAAACAAGTGCCCCAGTGCGCGAGGACCGCGGAGCTGGAAGCAGCGGGGCGGGAGCAAGCGCGGCGGTGCCCGCACGTGTGTGCTGCGGCCCGGGCTCTGCTGACACCACGCACCCGGGAAGGGAACCGCAGCAGCTTGGCGCGGCGCCCCGCGGAGCACCCACACCCAGCTAATTCTTAAACTTTTTTGTGTTGATGAGCATCTTGCTATGTTGCCCATGCTGGTCTCGAACTCCTGGCTTCAAGGGATCCTCAGCTCCTAACGTGCTAGGATTATAGGTCGAGCCACCACGCCCAGCCAAGAAACCAAGACACGCTTTCGTCCGTTCCCCTTCATCACTGTCCACTCCTACCTCTAATCTATGGCAATGGGACTCATAAGGATGTATGGCTCAGTTGTAGAAACTAAAGAACCCTACCTATTTTTCTATATCTGAACTGAAGATTGTAGTTTAATTTTCTTTCTTTTTTTTTTTTTTTTTGGAGACAGAGCTTCAAGCTGTCACCCTGGGTAGAGTGCTGTGACATCACAGCTCACAGAACCTCCAACTCCTGGGCTCAAGCGAGTCTCCTGCCTCAGCCTCCCAAGTGGCAGGGACCACAGGCGCCTGCCACAACCCCTGGCTATTTTTTGGTTGTAGTCGTCATTGTTTTGGCGGGCCCCAGCTGGATTTGAACCCTCCACCTTAGGTGTATATGGCTGGCACCTTAGCCACTTGAGCCACAGGTGCCGAGCCAATTTTTTGTTTTTTTGATACAAGGTCTTGCTCTGTTGCCTGGTATGGAGTGCAGTGGTATCATCATTAGCCCAAAGCAACCTCAAATTCCTTGGTTCAAGCCATTCTTCTGCCTCAGCCTCCCCAGTAGCTGGGACTACCGGTGTGTGCCACTATGTATGGCTAATTTTTCTACTTTTAGTAAAGATGGTGTCTCATTCTTGCTCAGTCTGGTCTTGAATGTCTGGCCTCAACTGATCGTCCCACATTGGCCTCCAAAAGTGCCAGGATTATAGGTGTGAGCCAGCACAACCAGCCTGTATGTAGATTGTAGGTTTATATCATTTGAATCATAGTTTATTATCAGAGGTACATAAATGGATAAAACATGCAAAAATTAATCTTTTCTTGAATATAGTCTTCCCAGAAGCAAAAATGGTAGAGTTTCTTTTTCTTTCTCATTGTAGTTAACACTTTGCCAAAAATCAGTAATGCTGACAGTTTATTACTATGAACAGTTGATCACGTATATTCTGAATGGTTATTTTTTTTGAGGCAGAGTCTCCCTCTGTCGGCTGGGCTAGAGCATGGCATCAGCCTAGCTCAGAGTAACCTCAAACTCCTGGGCTCAAGCCATCCTCCTGTCTCAGCCTTCCAAATAGCTGGGACTACAGGTGCCCACCACCACACCAGGCTAATTTTTCTATTTTTCATAGAGATAAGGTCTTGCTTTTGCTCAGCTGGTCTCAAACTCCTGAACTCAAGGGATCCTGTTGCCTCGGTCTCCCGGAGGGCTAGGATTACAGGCATAAGTCACTATTCAGAACCAGAGCTACCAGTTCTGAAAATCATGTTTAAGAAGAATATTGTGTCAAACATTTTAGAATGATTTTTCATTCACATTGTTTAAGACAAGAAAGATATTGATGTTTAGAGGAGCAAATTTTGATTATCTGGAAAATTCAGTTCTCTTTTTATTTGGTCTGGATACTCAGGGTCAGTGTATAGTTCAGCAGCAGAGAGCAGGAAGAAGGCAGATTTAGAATTGACAGGAGGTGAGTGTGGCAATGCTGG